TATTACTATTACCAGTTATATACATTACTATTTATTACTATTACCAGCTATATACATTATTAATTCGTCCCAAATCCTGACAAATATTATATAAGTATAAAAAAACGTTAGCTAAGAAGAAGTAAATTTAGATCTTAACGTTTCAAAATTTAATACTAACGATCTTTATAATTATACCCTGCACACTAATTTAACATTTTAGAAGTTACCTAAGTAGCAGTTAGATAAATATGAGTGAAGTTTCTAATTAAAAAAACAATGATTGTCTTAAAATATTAACTATTCGGGCTTTAATTATTACCTGTTTTAAGTTGGTGAAAAAATGGTTAAAAGCTGGTTTTTTTTTTTTATCATCTCTACAATGTAGTTTCGACAAATATAAATAAAGGTGTGGTTGTTTAGAAATATAGTTTATGTTATTTTTTTTTTTAATCCAGTCAATAAATCCTTGTTCATATCTAACAGTAAAAGCTTATACTTGGAAACTTTTTTTACATCTTTTGTTAAGATCTATTGGTTGGCAAAAGCAATCTTCGCTATAAATTCATACAGACCAAACACACCAAACATGCGGGACATGAATTCAAGCGAAAATTTAATTTTGAATGTAATATCATTCAGAATACTATCGCTATGATATATCATTATTGTATATATACTAATCATGCCTCAAATCAAGGTTTATCGCTGCCAAATTAAAAAACTTAACGAATCGCCAAATAATCATTCGGTCAATTTATCCAAATTTATGAGAACAGCTGTAAAATTCCCAGATGGTTTTTAAGAGTGGGTTGGTGTGTCGCTTTTAAACTTCCCGAGAACAAATGAATGATTTTGTACAGCCTTATGAATTTAAATATTTTACAATAATAAATTTCAATTTATTAAAATTGAAATATTACAGGATGTTTATTATTACGGAAGTTAGTCATATTAAAAAATACATAAAATAAACGTAGCTGATATTTTAAATTGAGTATAATCCCAATACAGACAATATGAAATCACTTGCAATAAAAAAAAAAAAGAAAATTACCAGATTTTACCTATAATATCCAATTTATATTGATTGTCCGAAGCATAGCGTAGGACATTATAATTAAAATCGAGTGTGATTCTGTTTACCATATCACGTCTTATTTCAACTGCTAACAAAAATCAATCATCATATGCCATTGATAAATCACTTAAAAATATCATTGCTTAAAAATAAATTGTAATAACTTGCTTAAAAAACTATTAGTATTAATCAATCGCTTAAAAAAATGCAATAAAGAAAAAAATATATATCTAAAAAATGAATATTCAACAAGTTCTGCCATATCGAGATACACTTCGAAAACGTATTAGCAGAGAAAATGAAACTCCTAACCAAAATGAAAAGCATCACGCTGATGATCGAGAAAATAAACGTAAGGAAAGGGGAAAAGAAACTGTAAAAAAGCGTGAGACACGTCTCAAAAGAGACTGTGAATGAAAATGACAAAAAAGAATGAAGCGTGCTTTAGAAAGTGTTATGAACATCTCAATCACCAAAATGAAGTCTCAAACCAAAATATTAACATACCTCACGTAGAACCACTTTCCGTTCTTGCCAAATCTGACCAAAATCTATTACAAAATTTTTACGCAGAAATTAATAAACTTACTAATATACTTTGTCTTGTATGTAATGAGTGCTTTTCATCTATTGAGCTCATAAAGGAAGAATGCTGCCATCGTTGCTATTATGATAAGAATGTGATAAAAAAATTCTCCAAAGAAAACAATATGGACCTGGGTAATGTACCTGAGGAATTACAAGGGCTTACTGAGATAGAGGAGATGTTAATTGCGCAAATTTTTCCTGTCGTTTCTGTGTATCGTCTTCGTGGGGGTCAGTATGCATACCGTGGCAATGTTATCAACTTTCCACAAGATGTATCAGAGTTTACAACTCGACTCCCTCGACATCCTTCATCGTTGGATATTCTTGTTGTGCGTCATCAATCTGCGAATAGTTCAGCGTTCAGAGATTTCAACATCTGTCGCGTTAAAGTTACCTGTGCACTTTATTGGTTAAAAGCAAACAACCGTTATTACGCTGATATTATCATTGACAATGAAATATTATGATCTTTACCTGACAATGGTCCTGTTGATGATCAGCTCCCCCAACTTGAAGATGTAGAAGACGAATATTTTGATAATAATGATAATGAAGACGAAGACATAATAACTAGCAACTTCGTTTCTGCACCTCTTCCATCTTCTAATGAAGAAAGTGCTATTGCCGATACTCTTGGTCGAATGCAAGCTAGTAACCTTCCTATTATGTGGCTGAATATAGATAGAAATCCTATTAATGAGTTCCAAACTCCTGGGTATATTGCACGCGCATTCCCAACTTTGTATCCAACTGGAGATGGCGATCTTCGGTCAGAACATGTAAGAGAAATTAAGCCAGCTGGATATTTCTTGCATCTACTAAAATACAAAGATGGAAGGTTTGCACAACATGCTTGGTGGAGGTACTTTGTGCTAAATTCGCAGATGCGATGGAGGGCACTTCAAGAGGGAAAAGTATATGTCAAACAAAGTTTAAATAGGGAGCAGCTTAATGTTAAAGATGTTCAAGAGATGGTAGATAATGATAATTGTATAGCAGATAAGATCGTACGATTTGGTGAGGGTTTGCATGGAACTCGGCAGTTTTGGAACAAGAGACAGTCTGAACTTATGGACATGATCAGGCAGTTGGGGTCTCAAGGGATGGTTTTTTTTACTTTCAGCACTGCTGATCTACATTGGCCAGAACTTCACGAGCTTATGCCACATGGCGAGAATCTGGTAACGGAACTAGATACGAGCAAACAAAGACGCCAAGACTTAATCGACAATCCACATATTGCTGCATGGTTTTTGAAAAATGCTTTAAATTATTCCTAGAAAAAGTGTTGATTCCTAAATAGAAACTTGTGGACTAGTGGTATAGGTTTGAGTGGCAACATTGTGGCAGCACTCATGTACATGGTATTGGGAAAATACAAGATGTACCAATTATTGAATGGGAAAGAATGAAAGAGAATGAGGAGACAATGAGTAATGTGGTGCAATATTTAGATTTATTGGTTACTATGATTAATCCTGGGCTTGACGCACCTGTACCTAATCATCATCTTTGCCAGAAATGCCCCGATGAAATGTATGATGACCTACAGGATTACATAGAGTTAGTTAACAAGCTGCAACGATATACACATTGCAGTCCTTCATATTGTCTTCGTGTAAACTCTACAGGCCAACAAAATTGCAGGTTTGGATATCCAAAAAAAACAACAGAAAGCATATACTTACGTGACAATAATGGTCAACCTGAGCTCATAACGGCAAGGAACGATCCCTACATTAATCCACATAATCGACTTCAGCTTCAGGGCTGGCGCGCGAATGTCGACTTAAAACTGATTCTAAACATGAATGCCGCTATTTAATACATATCAAGATATGCAAGTAAATCAGAACTGCAGTCTGCTGCTTTCTCAGATATATTAAATCGGATTCTTAATAATAGTAGAACTGGCGATTCATCACTTGGCATGTTTCAGAAATTATTGCTCCATACTATTGCAGAGCGTGATATTTCTACTCAAGAGACATGCCATCTCCTCCTCAGTATTCCCCTCTACCACTCAAGCCATCGATTTGTTACTTTGAATCTTAACAAAGAGGCTCCATGATGGCTTTATGGCACTGGATATACGAATGAAGAAAACTTTTCAGTAAATAGTGAAGTTGGGCGAACTGTATGGTCACCTCTGTAGAAGTATTGGAGTCGACCCATTGAACTTGAAGACCTTTCGCTCTTTCAGCTTTACTTAAAATATAATTTTTGGAACAATCAGTGGAAAGAATGCAAGTGTGAAAATATAGTA